ATTTAAGTTCACCTTATTTGCACTACCGGATGGCAAATATAACTATACTACTAATTTGCAAAAGCTATTGAACAGTAGATGGGGAGAGAGGTGTATTTAACCAACTTAAAATTAACCACATAGTTAAATTCTTGGTAAATGTATCCAAACAAGGGGGCAATAAACCAATAACCAACCGCCGGTAATAAGCACGTTAAGCGGTAATGGACTTAACAGTTTCTAGGTAAATCTCACTAATCAGCTTATCAGTGTAGAAAATCTCATTTAAAACTGCTATACACTTATGAGCGGGTCAGACATGTCATTTTATGTTGCAAAAGTAAAAAGTATTAATTTTATTCACAAAAACTGAAAATATTTACTAAAGCTTGATTTTATGCAAAATGTATAATGTATTTTACCTAGGAAGTCAGATAAGTGAGGATGGAAGGAGTAATAGGGATATAAAGCAGAGGATAGCGCAGGGTCGTGGCGCCTTTAATAAAGAGAAGTCACTTCTATGCTCGCATACCGTTAATTTAGAAATTCCAAAAAGGTTGTTAAAGGTGTATGTTTGGAGCACGGCGTTGTACGGGTGCGAAACATGGACAGTGGGAGCGGCGAAAAAGAAAAGGTTGGAAGCGTTCGAAATGTGGTGTTATAGGCGGATGATGAGGATATCGTGGGTAGAAAAGGTTAGAAATGAAGAGGTATTGGAAAGAATAGGAGATGATGATGGTCTAGTCAGAGACATATTAGAGGCAGAAACAGGAGTTAGGAGGGGTAGAGGTAGACCTAGATTAGATTACTGTTCGCAAATAGTTCAGGATGTGGGATGTTCTAGTTTTAGGGAAATGCGATGTTTAGCTCAGGATGGGAAAAAGTGGAGGTACGTGTCCAACCAGCCTTAGGACTGATGACCTTATGATGATGATGATGTATAATTATTAATACTATCATCATAAGGTCATCAGTCCTAAGATTGGTTGGTCACGCACCTCTACTCTTTCCTATCCTCAGCTAAACTTGGCATTTCCCTAAAACTAAAACATCCTACATCCTTTACTATTTGCGAACAGTAATCTAATCTAGGTCTACCTCTACTCCCCGTTTCTGACTCTAATATGTCTCTAACTAGACCTTCATGCCTGACCTTCCTACCAACCTATCTCGTCTATTTTTTATTGACTTCCGTAGAATCCTCTGTTTTCCTATTCTTTCCAATACTTCTTCATTTCTAAACTTCTCTATCCACGGCATCCTCATCATTCGCCCGTAACATCACATTTCGAACGCTTCTTTCTTTCTTCTACAAACCCATGCTAAAAATCGAAAGGGTGAAATTATTCACTGCAAACTATATGTAGAATTGTAGTATATTATATACGAGACAATAAGTTTAAGAAAAATGCAGTCAATTTTCGGCCACATACCTGAGTATGTAGTATCCCACTTCAAAACTTAAAATTTGGTTCACCAGCATATTCAGGTGTGCCGTCCAAAATTGACGGCATATTGCTTAAAGTTGTTGTCTCGTATGGTACTACAATTATATATATAATTTATATTTGGTGAGGAATTTCACCCCTTGGATTTTTAGCATGGATTTGTAGTCTATAATTGATTATACCAGGAGCGCAATTGAAGCTAATACGCACTGAGGCTAATCAGTGTGCAGTTAAGCTGAAATTAGGTTATCTGAAGTTTTTCTGGCTGCGTTGCTTTGCTGTCAATTGAAACAAAAAAAGATGACCAAGGCCATCCAGAATTCAATTGCAAAACAAAATAATCGAAAAAAAGGTAGTGACTGTGTTGTACTTTGGCAATCTTGCCTAAGGGTGTATCTCAATTGGTATAACGAAATACATATTACTATGCTTGAAGCAAAAACTTATTACATCCTTGCGAGGATAAAGCATATCCGTAGTCTTGTAGCTTACGATTAGTATACTATTAAGACTCTTTCAAAATGCAACATGCTATGATTAGTTCATATATTAACCAGGAAAGCTTCAGTCTTTTAATTGCATCCTGTAAGTCGTGCTAACCAGTCAGTGTCTCTTTAATTCCAATATCGTTTTCTAACTTTTTTATTTGATGTAAAGGCGTTAATCATTAGGTGGGTATACATACATACATATATTACGTTGTTCCACAGGATGTGACTGCACTGACTGATGGCGATGTTGTAAATATTTTGAATTTGATTTCTTTAGTCCAGCCAATTGTTATTTCCATCAGGTACTTGATGAATCATTGAAATTAAAGGTAAACAAGACATCAGTTTCGTATACGGCTAACATCGTGGTCTGGGCAAAACATAACCTTACCTTTTCGCGAATTCTTTTATAATTTTAAATTATTGAATTTAATTGAATTATCATTTCTTCTATTTTGTTAAATATTATTATAGAAATTAAAGGCAGATTGGAGGTGAAAAAGCAATTTCATATTGCAGTCAATTCCCGGACGTTTCACCTTTAATGTAATCATCACCATCATCATCATAAGGTCGTCAGTCCTAGGACTGGTTAGATACCCACCTCCACTTTTTGCTATCCTGAGCTAATCATTTCTATTAACTATTTCATTTCTCATAATTTTTTGTAAAAAGATTTTTATTTATTTAAGCTGTTTACTTGATTTATTTGATTAATTTATTATTGATTGATTAATACAATTGCGTTACAAGTTCCTAAAGTTTAGGGTCGCTAAAACTAGGGCTGGTGATACTCTGAGCGTTTACCATAGACTACCACAATGGCTCGATGCAAGAACCCTCGACTATGTCACGCAAATCGCAATAAAAATAGCTAATAACAATAGCAATGTAGTTATGGTTTTTACATGTATATATAAATTCTTATGTGCTCACGCATTACTGTAACAAAGTCTGATGTTTTATACAGTTAAAATTTATAAAGTGTTATCGATGTTACTGCAATGTATTAATTGTTATCGGTCACGTAAATCTTTGCCAATTTTGATTGTCCCAAGTATATAGGATACATTCAAGCAGGTCAATTTTTATCTTTTTTTTTTCGTAATCGTATTCAGTTTTGATTCATTTATTATTTTTCTTTTAATATAACAGTCCCTCCCCTTTTACTATTTGGTGTATACCCAGTACTCTTTACTTATATGACTGTAAAAAGCCTTTTGTGTAGAGATTTTCATATTGGAAGTACTTAACATTTGTTCTACAATTTGTGAATTCGAACGTGATAATAAATGAATGATAATGTGGCAGAACGGGTGGGCTTTTTTAATTTTGACTTCGTCTAATAGTAGATATCTTCGAACACCAATAGTACCCCTGAAATTTATTGCCAGAATGACAAATAGCTTTTTCGACAGCCAAACCCCACGAATGCCCTTACGGTACGTTGTAGATACCTGATGTGAATCCTCATTTGAAATTCATTTCAACAGGAATTATTAGGAAACTTGACGACGCGACGCGACGGCCGGTTCTGCGATGTCAGAGGCTGAATATTAAATATATCAATCAAACGGTCATGGCCAGCTAGAGCCAGGCCGCGATCATAAAAGAATGCTCGGCTCGCTGTCGTGTAGTAGATTAAATTGAGCTCAATTAAAATTTTACGAAAATTTAATTGCTTTCAGTTTTTAAATGCCAAACACAACGAAACATTTTTTGCGCTATTATTACCTCACAAAAAAAAAATCGTTTAGAACATCCTCAGGGTATTGCGTGCTAAGGTTTTAAGTTGGCGTCAGTTTAAAAAGCAATTACGTGTTTGGCCTTCAAAAATTTTTTGACTGTATGCTCATCAGAATTTTTAATAACCTGCAGGTTTTAATGACGAAATAATTCGGTTTCTAAACGAAGGAATGTTGTAGGCATATTTCATTTAATAGACGTTTTCTTTATCTAATATTAGGTCTTCTGCTAACATTCGTAATCTCTAATATATAATCAAATACTTAACTGGAAAATGTTTTAGTTTCGAAGAAAATATTAATCACATAAATTAACACTTTGCGCATAATTTTCACGCTCTTTTATTTATTCACTGAATGAGATGTGTAAATTATATCCAATCTCTTAGTTTTATGCAAAAATGAATTTCTATCAAGTAAAAGATTAATTAGATTAATTTAAAAAAAGACCGGACCCGAGTAATTTTGGTTGTTGACTTAACCTTTTAAGTAATAAGTAATCTACAAGAGTAATAACTAGAGTAATAGTACTTTCCAAAGGGAAATAGAAAAAGTAAACTCAAAATTATGTCACTAATAAATTCAATACGCAGTTCGGACATACCACGAGGCCTATAACCAATATGTACAAGAAGCGGTATTGACAAAGCAGTATGGTAAAAAAATAAAACAAAAATATTGATATGCAAAGGTAGAAATAAGGAAAGAGTGAATATGAAGTTAGGAGACGAAAAATGAGAAGAAGTCACTGATTTTTGGCATCCAGGAAGTCAAGTAATTGAAGATTAAAGGAGCAATAGAGATTTAAAACAAAAGATAGCACAGGGTCGAATCGCCCTTAATAAATAGAAGTCACTTCTATGCTCGCGAACGGTGGTGGTATTAGAAAGGGTAGGAGAAGAGGGTAGGAGAAGAGGGGGCGCTATAGAAGTTAATAAGAAACAGACGAGATAGGTTTGTAGGACACTTTCTCAGGCATGAAGGGCTTATTAGAGAAGCAGAAACAGAAACAGTAGTTAAACGAAGTAGAGGTAGTCATACATTAGATTACTGTTCACAAAGATTGTTAAGGTTGTGAGATGTTTTTATTTTAAGGAAAATGCGGAGATTAGCCTAGGATAGGAAAGAGTGGAGATGCTTGTCCAACTAGGACTGTCGCCCTACCAGCATGACGACATAAAATTCCATGTGTACTATGTATATTAGCGAATTTAATTTTTTTGTCTTTAACTTTATCGAGTTATGAAATACAGTGTAGATTTTATTTAACTTAAATTTTTTATAAAACCAAAAAATAACTGCGAAGTTCATTAAACTGACGAAAATTATTGTTTCAGGGGAACTACACAAAAAAAGAAATGGTATGAAGGAGCCCGACCATTTCGGTGAAACGGTAAGTAAAGTTTTTCATTAAAAAATAACTTTGCAACACTTGAACTCCATTAGGTTTTCATCTTGACTTGATTGATTCCTACAAGCTGGTGTTAAATTTAAAATCTTGTTAAGTTGAAATTAGTTGTTATGCTCGCAACTTGAGTAGCTCGTAAATGCAGGATAGCAAACTATATAACAACTACTGCGTAAAACTATTCGTAGTTGGCTTTTTCTTTCTCCGATAACTCTTCCACTTTTTAAATGTATCAGGCGATACTTAGGTCGTCGTCTTAGGAACAAAATACATCCGCGTTGAGAGCGTGACCAAGGTGATGCACTTAATGTCGATGCTTTTGTTTATGTGTGGGAAGAATTCTGGTAGGTATCATTGGCATGAGAGAAATCGTCTAGGAAAATGTTGACTGAAATTCGCGAAGCGTGTGCAATACCTATAATAAAATATTTCATTGTTTAATGTTTAATATTCGTCCATCCTACATATATATATATATATAATACCTGACAACAATGAACATGAACGAAGAATAAAAGCTGCTGGTGTGAGACTCCTCACGAGTTAAAGTTAGAATAGTAAGTTTAAGTTCAAAACAGTCTGTCATGCAATACGAAATTGTCATATGTCACGTACTTGGAATATTATACACACTCACGTAATCTGAAGTAAGGTTGTCATGGAATATTTAGTGAAATGTTACCGATAGAAGAGGAAACAAAATATTGCTTTGCTTTTTAAAATACTAAAATCTTAAAACCAAAAGTTAGCCCTTATATCTTTTTGATAGTAGTGGAATCCACTATAACTCCTTCTTCAGGAGATTACGATGAAGTATTTTGGTACACGGAGTTCAGAATTTTTGGTTTAGTTACAGAACCGTAAAAAAGCGTAAAAAAATCAGGTTTTGTTTGAAAGGATTTTGATAAACTAAAAAGTATTCATTTTGTTCATTTACTACAGTCTCTTTTACTATTTTCTTTTCGATTTTTATGAGACAATTTTGAAGGTTGATACAAAAAACTTGCAAGGGCAGTGTCTAATACAAGAATAATTTACGACTAAATGGAAGACGCAATGCTTGAAAGAAAAGTTAGTCAGCTTTTACTGACAGTGACAATCCTTTTTGAGTTGGTGGTACTGGTTCGCATTTTTAAAATTTCTCCATCCTGTAGTTTGTGGAATTGGACAAAGGCACAGTATATATTGCCGTATAGAAGAATAACGATCGAGTCTATAGAAAGACAGTTTCTATCTACGATAGATGGACGACCGGTCGCTGGTCAAACAATGGTCGTCATGTCAGTCTGTGGAAGTGGAATGAGTAGAAGAGAGGAATAAAAAGACTGTAACGACCGTGAAAGAAGCAACCCAACGTAACGGCAGGCAATGGACGCTCATGTTTAGCCTTACAAGTAATATTGAATTTTTGCACAGTGCTTGCTGCCTCTCTCGAATTACCGTCGGGATGTTTAGGCGAGAAACACAAAAGATGAATAATGCATAGATTCTTATTCTCCTCAACAGAAGCTGATGAACTACCGTAGGTATTGTGCATAGTGGTGGACGTTGAATCAACGAACTAGTTTATTTAACCGTTTCTCCACCAGGAACGTTTCAACTGTTTTTCGTTAGTCAGTAAACCAGTTGAAAATTCAACTAGTTTAAAAATGTAACGCTCAGCACCACCAAAAAAAAACGAAATGAACCGAATTTAAACCCAATACGTTTAAGATTTATGATACCCTTCACCCTCGGTCAGTTACTACTGCTACCACCCAAGTCCCAAATAAAATTCCCGCCAACATATAGTTAGGTAGATATTATTGTATTATGAATTATGCTATTCTTGCTGTAGGAGATCCAAACAAGAAGAAATGTAAAAATCTGCACGTTTGCCGTAACAGGTTCATCGAGTGACTAGTTAGGCGAAATAAATTAACTCAATAAATGAATAATTATTAATTAAATAGCAGATTTTGTGCTATTCTGTATTTTTCTTTTTTCATTAATGACTTAAAATCATTTAATTTATTAAACTGTATATACGTATTACAGGTATCATATTTTTAATTGATAAAAAATAATTTTAACTACTGTACTATACCTACACGTTGTCGCTAATTTAAATAAAAAAATGGTTTTTCTCATTTCTCTTTTAATAATATGAAATATTTAAAAAAGAAGATGAATAAATACGTCTGATAACAATTTATTATACTCCGGTCAGACCTAAACCTCAAAAAGTAAAAAATAGACCTATTACTTCTTTAAGAAAAGTAACCAAAACAACGTTGATCTATTAACGTTGAAACGTTAACTAGTTTATCAACTGCTTATAAAAGAATCTTAAATGTATGCTTTTAGTCTTTTAAATATTAGGAATTATTTCTCGTTTAATAATATGAAATAATTAAAAAAGAAGTAGAATAAATAAATATGATAACAATTTATTATACTTCGATCAGACCTAAACTTCAAAAAGTAAAAAAAAAATAGATCAATTACTCCTTCAACAAAAGTAACCAAAACAACGTTGATCTATTAACGTTGAAACGTTAACTAGTTTATCAACTAGTTGACGTTAAAAAAAAAACGGTTTCGTTTCGTTGTCGGTGAAAACGTAAACGACCCACCCCTAATTGTGCACAAGCAGAAAAAATTACACCCCGCTCTTTAGAACACATACGTACACACCTCAACGCCGATAGCGTTAAGCGTTAAGCTCTCGATCGACAGTAGTAGTATGGTATCTAATATTTCCACGCCCATGGATGTGCAGTAGTTTACAATAATAGTTAAGAGACCTGACGCGCAAAAAACCATGTCGTCCCAACCTTCTCCCGTCTGGTACACCACTTTTTAAGTAATTTAGGGCATTTTGCTTATATGATTTATAGGTAGAATGTGGGATTATTTCGAAATAAGGAGAGGGGGATGCTGGCCTCACCGCTTAATTTATTTTTCCGTGCGCGAATAAATAAAAGAAAAAGTGAACTCCAATCGGATCTTACAAAATCGAATATTTTCTTTTCGATGTGTACATTAACAAAAAAAACGGTGACAGAAACTGAATATTATCATCCATAATCAAATATAAATTATTGCATATCAGAAATGTGGATAAATCAGGATGTTAAACAATAATTGAGTCTTCATCAGGCATCTGGAATAACCCTGCAATATACAATAATTATCACTAAGTTACACTATTTACTATAATATGAATTATATAATCAACAATCCCATACTGAAGATTGATAAAAATATTATTAAAACTAAAAAAAATCCGCTACTCCGTCTTTAGATTCTTTTAGAGTTAAATAACCAGGAAATACCAGTGGCAGAAAAACCAATTGTACCCTAGCCAAGGCACCCACGACACAAGGAGTACATCAAAACAAGGAATAATTTAATACAATAATCAGTAAATAATGCAAATTAGGATAAACCACCTACCCCAAATTCACAATAGAATCTTAATTACCTATTTTTATTAGGTAGGCTTTTATAATATATATTAAGTTACTATTGCTGGTCTTTGTTTTTTCCTTTTTTCTGTCTGATAGTATAGAATTACCCGGCACTGTCGGGTTCCCGGCGCCATTATCCGGTAGTCGGCTGGATCCCCAAAAAAAGTGCCGGATCTGTTGGAACCAGATCCAAACCGAGTACCCGGCCGATCTCTACTGTTAACCCCAACTAACCCACTTGGTATAAATAATGACATTCTTTTATCGTGTATTTACCGAGCGGTATGGCCTAGAGGTTTAGTGGTTTAGTCCATTCCTTAGCATTCGGAAGAACGCCGGTTCGATTCCGGGTCCGTCTGCCTTGCTCCAAGTTTTTCTGTGGTTTCAGTAATATTCTACAGATAATCTTTCATTCTATTTTTTCTTCATTTCGTCCGTCTCATCTTTCTCACTTGAACCACCACCCACCGATTCCCACGATTCCTAATAAGAGACCTTCCGCCCTACCTTCCGGAGTAGTCTGGAGAGACTGCCCGCCCATCAGCATTAGTGGCTGATAGGAATGAAACACCCACAAGTTAGTTATCGAATATTTAGTTAGGTTTCAAATCAATTAACTCCTTCATGATTTCCTAATCAGTCGAAATAATTTTGTAAGATCACAATCAAACTGGCTGATGTGTCATTCTTCCAATTGAAGAAGCCACACAGTTGTTGGCGACATTTTCCCTCCCGGTCGTCTCCGTCCTCGGCAGTTTTAAATTATGGGACATGGGCATGTAAAAAACATTGAAATATAAACATAAACAGTCTGGAGTTTCGAGGCCAACGCTATCGAAAGGGGTTTGGTGCTTTTTGAGGATTCATTCTGAGATAGTCTTTTCGAATATACAGTCTAATTATTTTTTCCAATTAGTAAGAGTTTCATTAATTTTGTTATTTTAAGAAAAAGGAAAAAAATAAAGGTTTTGTAATTCTTCGTTGTGAGTGTTATTGTTATTGATATAATTATCTAACACAGTGTCGAAATAATTATTGTGGAGTTTTTGTGGAGTTTCTATTAGTAAAGGTTTTTGTAATCTACCCGTATTTAATCCTGTTCTCTTAAAATGCCTCGTTTATGTTCACCCTGTAACAGATTTCTTGTTAAAATTTATAAACTGAATCTTCAAGTTTATGGGCAGTATAATGAATTCCGTTCTAGATAATTATTGAGTGAGAATCACCTGCAGTTGTCGTTAAATGACGTTTTACGGAAACTGCAGAGCAGGTGGTGTTTGCTATTTTTTATTTAGATATTTTTAGTTTCTTTTCTCAAGGAATTAGACAACGTTAATGTTGTTACTGAGTGTACATGCATACGTATAAATCTTATAAGATGCTGGCAATTGTCTCTCTCTTCAGCTCTCCCGTTTCTCTCCTCGCCATCGAAAAGCGTGTTTGAGGAACACCCGCGAATAATTGTACATTCTTCGACTGGGTGACCTTGACCTTGAACGGGATAGTTTGAACGTCGTTCAAGGACATTCTTGC